TTCTAACCCACTATACAGTACGTCAGCACCCACCCTCGGGCGTCTTATTCATATTCAATTAGTTTTTAGATTTTCGTCATTGTTATAATAACGCGCATATCGACKTGACAATCCGTGACGAGCATTTTTATTAGCCTTTTTCGAGTTTCTAATAATACATTAACTATGGAAGCGCATTTATATTTTATAATTCCTATATACATATATTGTTATCACAATAAATAAAAATGTAAAATAAAATTTCAAAAACGAGATGCATTGTCTTTTCAGATATTTTTAATCGAAACGACACTATAACTTTGGTAAAATCTTACAATTATTATTGCTGATGACATTAATTTTTAATTCTTTATAAATACCATATTTAATTTTTTTATATAGTCACGAATACTTAGATAAAACAAGTAAATAGTATGTAAGTACCTATACCTAATTAGTAATTAGTAATTACCAATCATATAAGAAAAGATTTCCCTCTACTTCTGGCCGCTGGCAGATCTCTTTACTTTGTTATTTTCATATGATTTTTTTGTATTTCTATTACATTTTACCATTAAGTATTGTATCGGTTGTCATCCAACAGATTACATAATTAAAAGAAATATATTTGAATTTGAATAAACCACACAGTTTTCTTAACATCACGAATTACGTCATCACGATGTAATGATGATGTATTTATGTATACCGATGTTAATTATACAATATACTTATAGACGTATAGCCACTATTTAAATATTTGATATAATATATTGAGTTATTTTAACCATGTATTACTTTGAATTGATGTATATGTATTCGTATTTTGACTAATATAATATTTGAATCTATATAACCATCATAGGTACGTATAGTTTCGCATTTATTTAAATCTTTTTTAAATTTTTATTCTATATAATAATATATATTAACCAATCATTGGTTGTCAACCAACCTTACCAATATCGTACATGTTGTCTACATTCGTATAGTTATAGTGCCTACTTATATTATATGTGTTTTTTACCACTTTAAATATGTATATGAACATATGCGGCGTATTGGACTTAATCAAATATCATTTAAACATATTTATATCATAAACACGCTACATAATATTCAAATTTGGTCTCAATTCTTAATAACAATTATTACTTGCCTTGTGTTGGGTATCTTGTGGCGTTGTCGTTTGCGTCCTGTCCGTAATAGAACTTGGCGTCTGGGTCTTTCTTGTGCGTCACCATTGCAGGTGGATCGTAATAATCATAGTATAGGTTTCTGGTGGCCAGGCTTCTAAAAAACATCCAAATGAAACTTTATGATAAATTTATGGTATGTGAATATTGTATGCACATTGTACACCATTATTATTTAGAAAATGTATCACTTTTTCAGAATTGATCTTCTTGGGAAATTCAAGAAACATTTATGCAATTCTAACATGTTTTTGTGTTTTACTAACCTTAATTTTTTCTAGCATTATGTTTTTGGTATAACAACAATATACCTACTTTTAATTTTTAAACAGCAATCTATAAATTTAGTTTTTTATAATCTGTTGCAAAATATTTATTATGAACATTTTGATGTTTATCTAAAGTGTCTATCATACAAAAAGCGTTATTTTCACGAGGTGTAATTTTGTAATTTGCTACAATAGTTACAACGTCGCGTTATTCACGTGCGTGAAAGCACCACGCTGACGAGCCATTTGCCGCTTTAACGCGCGTTATAACGCATTCAAATATTAAACATCAAACCAATAATTTTTTTTTTGATAAATGAATATTTATGTTAACATTTAAAGTTATATTAATGTATGAGTGAAGTGGAAATATGAAATGTGTGATATACTCGTTTCAACTCCAACTTTCTTTAATAACATAAAAATAAAAACTATATATTTGATAATTTTTGAATCAACATTTAAAAAAAAATATTCTATGTAGAAATCAAAACTAATAAAATCAGTTGTTATTTAAAAATCAAAATTGATAGGATAGTTTCACATGGGTGAGAAATAGATGGGTAATGTGAAAAGATTATATAATTGCATGCCCTTATTAGGTATAAGTATACATTTAAAAATGTCGAAAAAGTAATCTACTTATCTATATAAAATCATAATCAGGGACGGCACGAGGGGGGGCAATCAGAGCAGTTGCCCCGGGCCCCGCGATTTTAAAATTATAATTAAGGCTCCACAGTTTTTGAATTATATTTTATATTTTTCTGAGATTAGTTAGTTTGGATAATATGTAATGTGACTGTTATTTATTTTGCCCAGGGCCCCTTAAATCCTAGCACCGTCCCTGATCATAATATATAGGTACCTATATTATATTATATACATACATATATTTTACCAATTTAGTATGATGATATACGTAAACAATATAATATATCAACTACAAATGCTGCACAATAGTTTTGTGTTTGAGACGTTGATATAGGTATCTAACGATATAGACTTTAATAAAACGCATAAATATTATTGTTGTTTAATAATATATTATGCGGTGGCATGTGTATTCTAGTCTATACTCGCCATTTGTGGTCCGCCAGTCCCTCCATATTATAATAATATGTGCGGTGTATATTATACACCGCTGTAGAAACTGTAGAAAGAGGATTACTGCACACTTCTGAGAGGTTCGCGGGTCGGCGTAGATTTTAAATAATCTTTCGAATGAAAAGCCAACAGACAAGAAGCCCGTAAATAATTATCAGGTTAATAATTTAAGAGAATGGAAAGGGTCCTGCAAGTAGCTTACGACGAAAGACCGTTTAACCCTTTGTATTAAAAATTGAAATACACGCACGGTGGTGGGAAGGGCGTCCTATTTATGGGCTTAATTATTTCAAACAATGTATATACTGCACCGTGAAAATGTATAATATTGTATATATTGATGACATGAAAATTAGTTATTCTTCGGTCGACGATTATTAAAAATCTTTCCGCGAATATAATTTGTTTCTTCAAAGTTTTATGCTTTGCATTTTATAAAATATTATAATTTATAACTTAAATTTGATATAATATTATGTATATGTATATTAGTTACTAATCTAATATCGTTTATCTTTAAATCTTTTAATCGTCTTTTTAATTTGGCTTCGGCTGTATTTTGAATTAATTATCATTCGATTATATTTTTTTTTTAAATTGTATGGATTATATACATCGATCGAAAACTTTTAATTTATAACTATATGTTCTTATAAATAATACATTTTTTTTTATACTCTACAACGAGTACAACGAATTAATACCATGCAAGAAATATTATATTTTCAAGAGTTACCTGAAGTTGGTTGGAGAGTGCGGATAATAATGATCGGTGAAATATCGCGTAGACCTACCGCAACAATCTGTAGGTGATTTCAATTCGGTTTTCATTGCATTTTGCTGATACATCACCGCCGCGCGGTCTATAAAAACATGTTAAATATGTAAACATACAATTTATAGATTTATAATGTGTATAAATCATAAACATAGTTACGACAAACATTTTTTCTATTTAATACTTATAAAATCGACGAAGACAATATATTGTGGTAGTACCTATTACAGAATCGATATTATTTTAATATCGATTTGAGTCGAGCATTCGATTTTTCTTTATAACCTCCACGAAAAATGTAAATTAAAAATCGATAGTTGGCGATATTTTTTCGGTTAAACTGATTAGGTTATTAAATCTAAAAAACATTAAAGGTCATAGTAATATCTTAAACCTGCAACACTACATACTAAATTAAAATTCACAAAACTCAACCAATGACCAATGTTATACATATTATATAACATTGAAAGACGTTGTTGGACAAAGATAAATATACTTTCTAAATGTACTTTTTAAATTTTTAGATTGTTAAGTTCAAACGTTCATAAAATATAAGTATATTTAATATAAAAGTTCGGAATCTTTTAAAACAGTCCAACAAACTCTTTAATACATGTTAGAAATATATTATGATAAACATTTTAAAAGATTTAAATTCACGTTTTTATCACAAATTTCGACTTATTATACATTATATACCTTATGAAAATGATCCATCCAACTTTTATACACACCATTGAAAAATACATTTTTCAGAATTTTCCCCAGAGCTTTTACTTTTACAATTACATTTATATTATTAGTAAAACAATTATAACTTTAAGCTTCAATAACTTTTTAAAATATCATAATATATTGACATATGACATAATTTTTGTATATACTATGTATACATAAGTTTGTTATTGGACCATTTTCAAAAATTGTGGATGTTTATTTTAAATATAACTACACTTATATTTGATGAACTTTTGAATTTTGCACTCTATAAATTCGAAATGTTTATTTAATCTTTGTCCAAAAAATTTCTAACAACAACGTGTTTCAATTATATGTATACAATACACATACATTATAATTGAATTTTTAGTGTATGTAGTTCTAGATGTGAGGGAACACTTCAAATTTTAAAATTGAATTACATTTTAATTTGTTCCCAAAAAATGTACAACGATATCCTATAAATCCGAGAATGGTTTGTTAAACTTACATAGTACGATACTACGATGTGTTATAAATACATAAAATTTTTATTTCGTGAATGATTATTTTTACAGTAAACACTCATTATTATGAGAAGTATACTAATGTTTTTCAAAATATATTTTACATAATTTCAACTTTCAAGTCATTACAATTAATTACAAAACATACATTTATTGAAATTTGAATGGTATAGGTACCTGTGTAATTAGTTTTAATAATATTTTTAGTTGTAATATAAATTCATATAAGAGCACAAGCGCACAAGTATGGTCCTCAAAATATTAGTCCTTTATATATTTTTGTCCTCAAAAAGATAATGCACCCCGCTGAACGTGTTGGTGTGAGGGGGCTCACGAGCTCACAATTTGAAATAAAAATGTATTAAATAGTTAATATAAACTAAATAATTTAAATTAACAATAATACACATTTCTCAAAATATTTATATATAATTTATATATACTGGAATCTAAATTTCAAAGTTCAATTTACGTAGAAAAAAAATTATTTTTTGTTAAAATTCAATTTAACTATTCAAAAATTTTCAAATAAATATTTTGGTTTGAAGCATTGACCTATTATAATAGTATATAACTTTATTTTTTCAAAAACATTGTGTGTAAATAATCTAAAATTATATCAAAATAATAATATTATCAATAACGTTAGTGAGCTAGTACATACGTCTACTGCTTATAGATTTTAAAGTATCAGTGTGTATGTATTAAACACCGATTTTTCAATATTTGAAACCCCTCTTCGCTAAACAGCTGCCCTTATATCATTATGTATACATAATGTATATAAGTTTTCCAACTCATAAATCTGACCTCGTGATTTACCGAGGGTGTCTGTCCTATACATAATTCGGTTGATTTTTCAATAGGGGCTATCGTTTATATAATAGACTATAGACATATACCCCTTCACCCTTAGTTAACCCCAACTAATACTACAACAACTATATACTAATACTTTATTATGTACTGTTTAGTATCTACTAATATACAAAGTAACCGTGACCGCGTATACCTAGGTAAATTGAATACGTTTTATCATAACAAAATTATCCTCGCAAGAGATGATTTTTAATGCGCTTTCGTTTTTCGCTTTCACAATCGACTCAAGAGGATAAAGAATATTAATATAAATAATCTATATGTTTATCGAGTTGTATTGTTTTTCTCATTGACAACACTGAAAACCGTACTAAATTAATCTAATTTATTATCCATCATCGCAATGAGATAATAAATTATTTTATTTTAGTCTCATATCAATTTATACATTATTTTTCCAMAAATCACTCAGTGTTATACACAAATATTGAAAAATTTAAATTTTCATTCAAAAAATGTACGCTATCTTAAGAACATTTTTTTTAATTAGGTATACAAGTATATATCAGTGGCGTCATTTCAGTTTTTATTAGACTAGGGCAACCACTCACTGATTTTCCGACTCAAATTTTTTTTCACACAGATTCACATAGAATAAAATCCATAGTACGTGAAGGGGGGGGGGTAAATTTTCAGGTATTTGAACATCACATACCAGATTTTAAAGTATTATAAATATAAACATTTTTGTGACATATTTAATAGAATGACGAATAGTACAATTATTGAGAAATGTGAAAATAAATAATAAATAGGTTATAGCATTGATTATAATAAAATTAAAATAATACTAATACATTTTTTAATAATTTATTCTATAAAATAAATGATTATAGGTTAAAAATATTTAGTCATAGCTAAATACTCAACACCATGATAAAATACGCCTATTTTGGCATTCTCAACATTTTAATTAATAATATAATAATAAATTTCATTAAAAAATACAAAAAAAAA